AGCGTTTTATAATGATTTTATAAATAACGGTATTGTAAGGAAACTGATAAATATATTAAGCACTTATCATGAGAAGTACGTACTTATAAACAGGAGACATATTTTCGTAAAATCCGATTGCCCACATAAATATACCTACCACAAATTGAATTAAACAGAATTTAAGTTACAAAGATGTATGTGAACAAAACGTCTTCTTTTAAGTTAGCTGTGATGGCTGCTTATAGGCGCCAATTACGAAATCCGTGCCATGTTTAATTTTCCAGCCTTGTTTCTGACCGCATGAAATATCAAGAAAATTATCAAAGTCGACTTCGTTACAAGCTAAATAGAAAATACACTTTTATTAAAGCTGTCAAAATATTTTGTCCAAAAATACTTTGCTCGTGTTAACGGGGCTTTAAGGAAAGTAAATTTTATATGCGATTTTTGATGCTACAAAATCTATTTACAGTATATTATATTTAACGATAAAATAATATAGATATATACACGGATATATGTGGTAGACACATTATCTAGCATTTACATATTAACATATCCCGTATCTTTAAAAAACCTTAAATAAATGAAAGTAGAGTAATCACGCTAGAAATTATACATCTATAGGCAGCGGCTTCTGATAGTTCGATGAACATGTAAGATTTTTTCCAATGTGGTAACTATCTAGTTTATAAAAGAGAAACGAAGGTTTAATACAGTCTAAATAACTTTACGATATGCTTCTAAGTACAAAGATAAAACCCAATGTCTCCTACATGTAGGGGTCTTTATAAAAATAAGATGATTTTATTCTAAAATAATAAAAAAAAACTTAAATGAACCTTACAACAAATAAACCGATGTCACCGCATATACTTAGGTTAAGTTAGCAACACACACTCGATTTTGAACATAGTGAATTTCATAAATTAAGACGAAGCGCGACCAGAGCTCTCCTAGTCTAATCGATAGGAGAGCTTTGATAGCCGCTTTTGCCGGTAATATCTGTAAGACTTATACCCATCTTATGCTCTATGATTTATATTTACACCTGTACTTTGTTCAGAAGCATTGCTTGCTGATTTTCCTGCGATTATTTTTAGTGAGTTGCAATTTCGTGGTGTCAAGAGAAGGAATAACTCGACGAACATAATTTCTTCGAAAAATTAAAATGAAGAATAGGACGAATAGAACGAATGGGTGGGAGAGCTTAAAGAAATTAGCGCCAAAGAGGATTTTATTATTAGGAAAACATAAAAGGGTGACCCACGAAGGTTGAAAAAAAGAATATTTATTTTGGAATACTCCTTTAAAATACTAAAAAAAATTTAAATCATAAGAGGAATTTTCTGTATTTCGAATGATAATTTTATCTAAATAGGCAAGTTGTAAGACACGTCGAACACGGTGTATTATATAAGAGAAGATGGCGAACGTCATTGTTGCCATTCAATTATGCTTTTGTTTTTGTACTGAAATGTTAAAAATAATTTTACTATAGGTAATGACTTTGGTGTTGAGTGTATACAATATTGAGCAAAAATTTGGCTAGTTAAATTAATACGGTACATAAACTATGTCTTAACTGCTAAGTAAAAGTAAATTGTCTTTATCTAAAAATAATAGAAATAGAATCTTATTTTGTATGACATACTAAAAGAATAATAAAGAAAACATGATTTTTATTTCAAATATATAAATAAATCTAATAGCTTCATTTATAGTATGAGATCGGTAGTTTTACATAAACCAAGCACTGCAATGTATCCAAAAACGGCCTCTTTATAAGGATATGGTTTAAAATATCCATCGTGTTTATTTTTGTTCAAATAAAACGTTTCGTCCGATTTCATGATAATATGTTTGATAGACAGGATCGCAATTTTCTTGAACTGAGACGTATCGGAATAGCGGAAAATACTGGGACGATATAAGCTATCGTCGGAAAACCATATTGCATAGCAGCCTTTCGTGTAAAGTCCAACGGTATGTTGTACTTAAAGTTACTAAATACTACAATTATGACTTCAACTTAAAATATCATTAACAGCTAGATATTACACATACTCTAAACCCCTATATCCTAGTCCCTTACAATATGGCAGTTGTTAAATCGCTAGCTGGATTGTTCTTTGTGGTAAATTTATAGAAATTTATTATTTTGTGGGGTGTGAGCGTTAGATACGTCGATACACGAAATCAATATATTTTCGCTATACGTTACAACATTATGATGTTTTATCACAACCATCATTGCAATATATATATTGTATTTGGTAGTTTTTTGCAGGTACCTCACGTAATCCAAACATAAATAAAAAAAATGTATATATAGAAGCCCGAAAAGAACTAACACATTTCGTAAGTACCTTTTGATTTCAATTAAATGGTCTGGCAAGAAAATAAAATTTTACTACTTAATTTAAATTCATCAAATCAGTTTCACTTTTTTATCGGAACCTTAGATAGAATCTCCATGAATAACAGTTAAGAGAATTAACGAACTTCCATAGACAAGTTCTATTATAATCAGGTTCTATTGTGGAACCTATTATGTAATAATCAGATCTAGCGTATTTCAAACAGTGAGATCTACATATCAAATATTCTTCTAATTCGTTCAGATAGGAGCATAACCTAGATGGAAGCTAAAAATAAAAAGAGTATTAAACGTACGTGATTGCTAAGTGGTAATTACTAAGGAGTTGTTTAACTAACACCTGTAAGAATTAATGATCGTAACTATGAATAGAAAATTTATAGGCACGTAGTTATCAGTACTATTATGTGCGTGAATATTTTTTAGAGCACCAAGTACATAGAATTAAAAGTAAAATACGACACAAGCTTGCGGTGAAATAAAATAAGAAAACGTGTGTTGGATTGGCACATTCTGATTACGGTTGGCGCGATTTCAGCGTTTTATATGTTAACAAAACGCATAATGCGTTGAAACGCTGGTCTGGTAACTATGAGTAATAAAAAACGCTGGATATATTTTTTTTAAATTTTGATTTTAACAGTCACATAATGCAACAACAATATTTTTAATAAAACTCTTATATACACACCTAAACATTGCTTTTACGTCGAAATATAAGTATAATTTATTCACATAACTTTCATTACTTTTAGTATTTACATAATATCTTTCGTATCTTAAAGAATAATATTGCAGTTCAGTGTAGCACTTTTTATTTTTGTTTGAGTTCTCTCTTATTTTTCGACACATAATATACTTGTATCACATATTATCCAACTAAGGCATTATAATCCCGATTCCTCTTTGATACGTCCAACGTGCGAAGGCAAGGGCTTCGATCTTCAAGCGTTTTTAATGACATATATAAGAGCTTAATTTTAGTGGTAAGCACTAAAATATTTGCCATTTTCGTCATATCGGTTTAAAAGAATTCACTTTTAATTGGCCACCACACCATATCACGCTCTCTTCATAGTCAAATCAATTCAATATCCGGGCGTCTTGACTGTCAATCTGTCACGCATTACAAAGATGGCTTACGTGTAAAAAAAAATGCGTACCGCGAGTGATGTTTGGACATTGAGTATTGTCTCCTTAAGGACCCTCCTTGTATACAATACAGATATGTTCATAAAAATTTAAGTCTAAACGTTGTTAGTAGTCTTTTAATCGAATTTGAGATACTTACCGACTAATTCATATTTGTAATGTATTTATCCACGTATGTTATGAAGTTTATATACATTCTAATAATTCAGTCAATATATTATGTAACGTGTAGTGACAATTAATCGCTAAATTTCAATCGACTGGACGAATCCTAGCCAATTTAATGCTCGGATATTAGACAGTGTGAAAACATTGTTTAGGATTGAATTATTTATTTATGTACTTGGAAAAGCACATTCATTCATGTGGACGGAATTTAATTATTACACCCATGTGATTTTATTGAATTAATTTCATTTCAAGCCTTTTAAATTTCGGACACAAATCACAAGCCTATTAAATAAAAAAATATTATTCGTTTCTCATAAGTCATTGGAATTCGTAACTCTGTAAAGAATGGAATTAGAAATCCTGTAAAGTCGAAAAAATGATATTAATCGAAAACTATTAATAGATTGAAGTCACGGTTAACATTATATTTCAAAAATACTGTATATATGTACTTCATAATCTTCATCATTATCTGTTCATTCAAATAGAAGGATTTTATAAAACAGGAATTATTTGTCGATATCAAAAATATGTATAATTATAAAATATAATGAATATCCTATTTCAGTATGCAAAATTGTAGAGTTCATTAAATCTGTTACTGAATATTTTCATTTGTTAAATTCGGACAGATTTATGCAAACAAACGTCGAATTGCGCACATTGACATAACAATTGTTTTCACACTGCTTTCTCAGTCAATACTTAGACCTAACTTATAAAAACTAGTATTCACAGTCTCCAATCGATATCGCCGACAGTTCAGCGTCTCTAGAAAGGCAACTGTGATGCTCTACAAAAATACGTGGGCAATGTCCATAATGCAGTCAAATACGAGCCACATTCGAAGAGAAAAAAATATGTCTCCCTTATTAATTACAATCAATATAGCATATACTCCGTACATCCTTATATTTAATAAAAACTCAATTGAGTAATATCTCGATCTACTCCTATTTACGACACACAAACACTCGCGGGAAAGTTACACAGGAGCAGGCCGCGGTAAACGTTAATGCACTCCTGAAGTTGGTTCAAGTCACCGCGTAAAACACAGTTCATAAGAATCGGGCGGGGTGCGAGGGGCGGCTACTGCCCTCTCATTTTCCCCTCAGTCTAAACAGCTTTCCGTCTCACAATACGCGTTCCCGTACTCTCGTGGAGGGTTTCTGAACTCGCAGGGCTAGCTCCACTCAGGCGGATCGAAGTTTTGCGCGGCCCATTTAGTTCGGGTCTGACATTTCGGGCCTCTATGTAGCCATGGTCATTTCAGCCTGTCGCTGCGCGCAGGGGCGGAACTCTGCCGTGCGCGCTATTCGTTGAAGCGCGTGCACGCCTTCTTCCATTTGCATTGCGTGCACCAGAGGTCCCGCTGGTCCATGCCATATACTTTGCGGCACTTCTTGTTGTCTGACCTGGGCCGTCGCCCGGGGCTGCCGGGCGAGCCGCTCATCGCCGACAGTCGCATATGCTTCTGGAAAGATCGACAACATTTTCTTTCAGTTATATATATAAAAAAAAGTCTCGGCGCTCTAACACGCGCTGTAGGAGTGACCAGTTTGGAGGGAGTAGCGCCAAAAGCTGTGCGCTATCATGGTTCATGCTACGATGTACAGCGAGAGGGCGTGGAGTGCTGTCCTCGCATACTGCGAGAACGTTACCACCCGGAAGACTATCGAAAGACTAGAGACGCAGCTGCCACCGTGGTTATCCTTCACCGGGGACCAGGGTGCAAAAGGCTGGCCAACTCGCGTAACTTTTTCTGATAGTGGTCCAGGTTGCAGACAGAGGGCAGAGGGGTGCTGTGCTAATTGGACCAGCACAGGATCGTATGGCCCGACCGCGTGTCATAGCAACCAGTTCGAGAGGGCCTGAGTTGGTTCGCTGAAAATCCCCGGTAGATATGGCAGACACAGCCGCAACGAAGGTTTTTTTGTGAGTATTTGTCTTGACTTGACTTGTAATCCCACATACCCCTGCTGGATTAAATTCTCGTTAGACAGACCTTATTTATAGACAAATTCGGTAACGAATCTGATGAGTTCCAAACGGGAATGAAATAGCTCAAGCTCTTCAACTGCCTTCCAAAACCAAATACAAATATATAATAAAATCAAAATGTCGTAATTAATTAAGTTTCAACTTACCGGTGAGTGTGAAGTAGACCACGCATGGCTTACTGGTATGCTTATCGGCCTAGCGGAAGCATTCTGCATAGTCGAAAGCAAACCTTGCCTGAAGGAAGAAAAATTTATCATAAATGAACAATTACTTCTGAACACATTGTGATATAAAACCATTTGCACAACTCTAAATTGATCTTTAATCAATTAACAAAAGAAAAGATTTGATTTTTAAAGAATTTGTACTGGTTTTTCACATGCCGAATGAACTGAAAAAATGAAAAAAACATGTACTTTACAATACTTTTGAAGAATGTTTTTTCTTCCATTCCATAGACTATAAAAGCTTCATCGAATATAGAGCTCGTGGGACAGCCAGATCAGAGAGCTGGGCCGGATTCCCGAGCTTGTTTGTACTCTTATATCTTTTGTGTAGGTACCCTAAACGTGCATTAAATAGAAAGACGGCTGTAATAGAACAGTTTTTTTTGTATAACTGATGTTACGCTTTCAGATCTTAGACTATTAAAGCTTCACCTAACAAATAGAACAGTATAAAACAATCAGGACCTGTAGGAGCCGACAAGTTGTCGTTGGTAGTCGGGATCCTCGTGCGGTGGGCGGCACATGTCTCGGTGGGACAGCGTGGGCGGTGGCGGCGGCGCCGCTACCTCGCGTTCAGTGTAGTAGAACTCCTCTTCATGGTCACTCTCACCCTCCTTCTTTGGCCTAAAATAAGGAGACAGTAATATGAAAAAAAAAAACAGACAAAACTGTTATACATTAGCACGTTTCCTTATCGATTAATTTTTAAAAACGTAAGATAAAGAAAATGTATGCATATATTAACGTAGTTTCCTTCTAGTCTTAATACCGTTTCCTTCTAGTATTAACAGAAGCCATAAACCTCGTAATTATTTGAAACCTACCTGCTTCGAATAAGTACATTTTGATTTTAAAATACTTATAATATTGATTGTTTATTATCCATTTTCGATCGGGAGGGGAAATAATATCACAAATGAAACAGTAAAATAGCAGAATAACTTTTTCAGAATAGTTTTCCCGTGAATTTTGAACTTATTTTGTTAGTTTATGGACGTTACGTAACTTTTAACTAAGGATGTAAAGCCCGCCAACAAGTACCATACCAATAATAATATCATAATTAGAAAATACTACCAAAAGAACTTTACTAAGGTCCAACATTAGATGTGAATACGATTGAATAATGACGATATATTTATGAATAAACATTTAAGAATACATTTTGACTGTGGTAGAGCCAAGCAACAGTCTACGCTGTTGCACGAATGGACAGGTCCGTCCGGGAAGTGAAGTAACACGACCTCGCAGAAGTCTGGCGTCAAGTTGAAGAGTTATACTTCTGCGTTTCGTCTGGTGAATGAGGTGCTCAGGGCTCACTTTATCGTAGATGTCAACGCATCTGCACCCCTAAGGATGTTGCAAATTTCCATGGGCGACGGCTATCACTTAACTTCAGATGAACCGCCATCTCGCTTGTCTCACAAAAAAAAAACAACAAAATGCATATGTTGGTGATTAATATAACAATCCGGTACGATATGTGATCAAAAATTCCTTAAGTGTATTCGTAGTAAGTTAGGCCACTGTTGAGTAATTACTGACGAAGTCCAACGGGTCGCAATGACCTTGTACATTGCGGATCGAGTTAGCTACACAGTTAGCAGCCTTGTCACGAAGCCTTGTGCTTCCGGGTCACCAGAGGGCTAGCCTCAAGCCGCTACAAGCAGAAAAACCATAAAATTCTTCATTGCGTAAGTCAACTACGTCAAAAATTTACTAAAGTAACAAATAATAAAGCTTCTAGTGGCCGTTTCGTATTGATTTTACTTGTGACCAGTCGGTCTCTTTTAATTTTCTCTTTTATTTATTGTGCTATTATTAATTTAAAAAAAATTTAAATTGTTTACTTAATGCCAAATCATTACTGCTAGGTCTTATTTGACATACATCTTTTCTTCATCATTGTCTTAAAACGCATATAATTACAAAGTAGAAATATTTCAATTTTTTGTTAAGTGATTTTTAATTACAAAGTTTTATTATTATATTTAATTTGTATTTTCGAACGCAAAGTGTTCTCTCCTGAACTTAAACGATTGAAATTAATAATAATTGGATATGAAAATACCAAATTACGTACCCCAAGTGTGTGTTTCGGATGTGCGCTTCTATTGATGAACAACTATTGGTGATATGTCCGCACCCTCGCCAAGTGCATTCAAATACGACGCTGTTTATCTGTAATGAAATAAATTAAGTAATAATATAATTGTATGTAATAGGAGCAATGTTTAGACCATAAAATTAAATGCTATAAATTGCTTATTTATATTACATTAATATTGTACATGAATCGAATAATGAAACTAAAAAATAATGTGCCTATTACCATGTATCCATTATACGTACCAATTCTTTTTAAAATTTTTACATATAGCTTTATAAAGAATAATTCTTGTGATCGAAATCACGACGGAAGGATATAAATGTCAATGAATAAGTATTATTACATAAATAAAACTTAGGATCTCCAATTTGTGTTTTGTTTGTATTTTTTCATATTCTATTAATAAATAGTTTAAAGCTGTTAAAGTATCCGTTTTCTGTAAAATACATCGCAATACAATAGCTTCATAAAATGTAGAGCCGCCATCTTAACTCTGTTGTTGGTTTTGTAATGCATTAAAATTAAATATTAGAATTGTTTTAATGCAATGAACAACTACCAAAGTGTATATTTATTCATTTATGAGATTTAAAATAAGACCTACTAGATATTATCACTATTCAAATTATGCATAAAAGATGGCGCTACTGCTGCGCGCTTCTAGCCCACATTGGATTAAACATTACACGAAATTACTACCAAATCGAGAGTTAAGACATACATATACAAATTAACGTTTTTTTATGGAGTAAATTCCAATGATATCACGTTTTAATTCATCTCAATAGCATCCAAGCTGAAAAAAATTCTAAGTGTATTGTAATGTTGCGAGCGCTGGCGGAAGCGGCTCTAGGTCGCGGCCTTGGCGTTGCCGCAATACTGCGCGCCCTCGTGTGCAGTGCAGCCACACCCGCGGACAGAAGCCATGTGTGCAATCATAAGTAATATCAGGACGATAATTCGATGTTACGCTTGCGTTTAATTTTTTTTTTGTTGCCAGCCAGTAAACTGATAAAATACTTTTTAAAGATTACAGATCATCAGTATTTGCGTGAATTTAAATGTAAATTTTAACAGGGTATCTCTCGTGAGTGAAATAAAAAAAAATTATTTAGTAATATTAAAGCTTTTTGAACGATTTCGTTTAAATATTCAGAAGTATTATTGGATATCGGCTAAGTTTATCGTCAGTAGGTAGAGTACATAGTTCATAGATAAATGGGTCGAATACGTCACAGCTGTGTCAGGGACGTGAATTGGGGTGCGCGCGCGGAAGGCGATCGTTCCCCGCTTGGAGACTGCGGCTAAATCAAGTGCATTTGTAACTGGGTCAGGTCACGACGGGTGGGGTGGGGGAGGGTAAAAGGGGAGCATCTAGGTCGCAACACCAATGCCAAGGGTGGTCGGCGAAGGTTGCACCGCTTTGTCTTAGTCGAGGACGGTTAATATTAACCTTTTTCAATGACTAGATATGGAAATTTTACTTGCTATGCAGATTTTAAGCGAAGATACATAAAGGAGGTTCATAAATAAATTAGCAATTAAATTCGTAGGTATCATCATTACATGTTATTTGTACTTTTAATATGGTATTCCATTGTATATTTGTAATATAGGTTTCAAACCGTATAAGCATATTTTGAATACAGATGCGGTCTTATGCAAGTTATTAAAAGATTTAGAAAGATAAATACCTATAGTTTTGTAACCAAGCTGATTTCCTAGCGCTTCAGTTGTTGGTTCTATTATAGCCCTAACTGCAGTAGTGTGCTGTACGTATACGTTACACGTGCCGCCCTATTTATTTGTGTGCGTGCCAGTGAATAGATGATATAATGCAGCAATCGCTTGTGCATTCAATGACAATTTACCGTATGATGCACTTGGCAAGTGTTAAAAAAACAAATCCGCATACCTATAAATAATTTATAATTTGTTAAAAGAAAATGAACCTTACATTGACAGTGAATGCATTTCCTGAACATAACTTTATACATTCAACATATTTTTTATACTTATTAAAGTGATAATTTTAAAGAGCATGATGACGTCAATACCATTCCACCCAAGCATTCTCTCTTTATACATAAATTAAACTAGGATTATATGTGAGTCAATAATATAACGCCCTTTTATTCACTCTCTTCTTTATAACTATGTCATATGTTCATACATAATATATAACTTCTGGCTGATCAACGCAATCAAGTATACATTTTTCAAATTAATATCAATTTAGAAAAGACATTATTTTTCAAATGAATTCATGTTAGTTGCTGTCTCTAGCTCTACTATTTATTTCACTTTTTTAAACATTCATATTAAATATGATGTGTAGCGTATAAAACATGTATTTATTATTATATATGTAAACATTTCGCTATCTTTATACTTCTTTATGGGACATTGTCTCAAATACACAGCTAGAATCAGCTAGATTCGAACGTAACAGCTAGAATAATTAACTGCACGGCAAAGGAAATTCAACCCGTTGGCATTAAGATTCCTTTTTCAACGTTGTTGGTCTTAAGTAACTCAAAGCGGCATATAATGCCGGTTTGTTGTTATGCCGTCTCACTCGGCTGCGAAAGAACAAGATGACTTATTGATTTGTTTTCATTGCGTCTCTTTTTCGCATATTACTTCATATAAGTTTGTTTCTTTAGAATGACCTTCTCGTATTTACTTCACGACATATCACCCCATGTTTTGTTTTGGTGTCATCTCGCTCTACTGGTGGACCGTTGTGATTCGAAGCTTATAACTTGTTGCAATGAGCGCGGGGATTTAAAGCTGTTGTATCAATTTTTATATTAACGATGAAAGTGTTGTAGTGATGAATAAATAACTTTCAAGTAGTCTCTATGATTTAATTATTTATAAAACGTAATAAATGGAAAAATGTAATTTAGTCTTAAGATTTATTAAATACCTACCGAATTGATTACAAAGAAGGCTGAATAGGGTTCGATCACGTGTACAGCTCAGGCGCCCGCCCCTCTAAACATACTCTGTCAACGAGCTGAACTGTTTACAAACAATCTACTCTCGTGCTCAAACTCTTCAAAATATAAAACAATCCAAACAAAGAACATTCCATTTCCGTGAAAACAATTTATTCACAACGTCATAAATGAAAAGATTTGCCATTATCGTTCAAATTAATTATATTGATTTACTAGTAGATCAAAAAAGATGAGGATACAGATAGATATTTCAAAACGCGAAAGGGTGGCTGGCCATTTACGTGCAATGCACTATATAAGGATAGGGGGCTAAGACCTACAAGTTCAATGAACCTTGCCAATAGTTACTGTATTCGCTCAAACAAGTATTTTTAAATGATTTTTTTTACTATTTTTGTTATTCTCTTAACATTAATGTTTATTGCACCTGAAATTATTAACGATAATAAGTTATTTTCAGAGATTTTAGTTCTCGATTATCACGCACCCTTTGGTTCCATTGGATTCTTCCGTATGTCTCTTAAGATGATATATTGTGATAGGTAGTGTTGCCAACATTTGTGTGATGCATCCTATAAGTACGAATGCTGCGTTGTCAATCCGTTGAACCCGGGACCAACACCCCCTCGTCTCGCCCCGTGTTGGTGCGCGCAGTCCGTGCACCCTCCTTACTTCACGTTTTTCAAACAACCTGCCTGCCTTGTATGCGTATAATACACATAGCGGTGCGTATATGAAAAGCGCCCGCCGGCAAGACAACGCATCCGTGCGCCTCATTTTATTCCAAGAAATAATATTTTGAGCGATGAGATTTGATCTAAGACTTCTAAGAAACAATTGTGTTGAAGTTTATTTGTCGTTTATGTACTAATGGAAGCGAATTTTAATAATGTTTTAAATTGTATTCTTGAACTTGCCTTTATTTATTGTCTTATAACTAGTGATAACGAATTTTAATAGGTTGAAATAGTATTTAATGTTTAGTGGTCCTGGTCGACTTCAATTCAAATATCCATTTATTTTTCTTGCTTCAGGCACGTCTTACGGCTTTCTTTTCTGTAGTAAAATTAAGATGACGTTTATCTTGATTTTTTGATAAATACTCTAAATTATTACAAATATTACACACTTGAATTTACTAGTTAAAAAAGTAGTTAGTATTATTACTGCTTTTTGTCATTTATATTTGGAAGTGAAAACACAGTAAAGTGATAGATTTACTGGAACGCAATCTACGTACAAAATGTAATGAATCTTCAAGTTCATATAGTTATATTAATATAAGAGTACGTGGAGGACCGAGCTTTGCTCGGTTTGGTTTTTTTTGGTAAATCGTGTGTTTTGGAAATTACCTTTAGATACAAATTACTGAGTAATGAAATATGCATAATATTTTCATTTTAGTTTTAGTTAATCAGTAATTTAGTCGGTAGTCTTTGTTCGTTCAGTCATGCTAATTGCAATGCAATGCTATTGCTTGCAAAGTACACTATTCTGTAAATCAATAGAAAAAAAACCGGCTAAGTGCGAGTCGGACTCGCAAACGAAAGGTTCCGTACCATTATCTATAGAAACAACAGAAAAATCTTCAATTTAAAACCTCGAAAACTATTTTCACATTGATTGGAAAGTGCTTAACTGTGACACCGACATCGTCGGCTACAAAAGAATCTCTCATCTCAAAAGCTGAACGCAGTCATTCTTAAATATTTAAAATATTCGTGGTTGTTATCGTCCCGGGAGATACATATTTCGTCGAACAAAAGACTCGCGTGATGTGAGTCAGACAGGGACGCTGCCGGTCCGGTTAAGGCAGCCAGAGCCAGTAATGATGAATCAGTCGAGTGGGGCAGTCGCCAATCGCACACAGCACAGACACCTCCCTGGTCACCGACCTCGACTGGTCCCGACTTGTTACAATTTCACTTTTTCTTCAAATCGACGGATATAACTCGACCCTTTCTCAACTCTAGCGCTTTTTCTTAAATTAATAACATGGCTTCACTCCGAACGGGCATTCTTGTATTTAGCACGCTTTTATATAAACCAGTAATCAGGTGAATGGTAAACGTCGGCAGCTAATAACGTTATTAGCGCAATCCGGC